GTCACGCCAAGTTACGAGAGATTACATCGTGATTATGTGATGCGGAATATAGATCACAGAAAATTGTGCTCTTTCTCTCTCTTTCTCTCTCTTGGAAGCCGCCCAACTCCCTTCGGATGCTTTTCGATTAACGGCCCCGACAGTTTCTCCTTTATTGTTGCGCCGGAATCTCAGGTCATATCGGAGTATCACTCCGGCGTTATGAAATACTAAATTACATTTTAATGCCCTTCCGACGCGGCTAGTTAATTTCCTCCGGCGAAATAGTCTCGTTCACACGACTCTCCGTTTTCAGCGCTGCCGCGGACTTCCATCCGAGAATTTCCTCAATTTTTTTCAATTACGGCCCGATCATTTGTCAGTCTCGACTTTTCTTAATCCCGCCCACCGTCCCCTGCGTTCGAACCACGAAGATTCGAAATCCTCGTGCACGACAGTGCAACACGAGCCTGCATCCTCGCGTGCCGCCGAGAGGGGCGACGAGACTCGCTCGAATCGACATTTTCGCCCGATATCCCTTCCTCGTTTAGCGCATTAGGAAGGACGCGCGCGAATTGGAGCAGATGGGAACGCGACGAACCGTCCCGGTTTCACGTACGAGAACCGTCGCTCGGATGACGTGGCTCTTCCATCGGTGGATTTTTTCCTCCTCCCCCTGTCTCTCATCTTACACCTACCTGTCTCCCCGCCTCTCTCTCTCTCTCTCTCTCTCCCTCTCTTGTTCTCCATCTCCGTCTATCGGTATCCATCTATTTATCTATCTCTCTATATCGAGACGCTGTTTACACCCGTACGCATACCGCACGCCTCCGCACTCGATGATGACGCCGCTTGCGCAATCGCCGTTTGCGTTTCGCATGATTCACTCTCGTGAAACGTCGGCGGCGTCATCGACGCCGGGTTTCTCGAAAACGAGGTCGCACGGTGATTGTCACCGGACGGATCTGTCGATGATTCCCCCCGCGGCTGATGCATTCCTAGCGATGATCGGCTGGAAATAGCGGGCGCGCGGCGCACACGCGCGGACTGTTCGTAATCGACCTGACCTACTTCAAATTCGAAAGCGGATGTCGAGAGCTATCTTCTGAAAGGAAGTTTCCGCCCGATGATATCCCGCGAAAGAGTCGCGGCTTATAGTCGCGTCGTTTATTATAATGATTAATGTATTGTATCGCGAGATACGACGCCGTATTCCCCTCCCCCCCCCCCCTGCTCGCGGAAAGATTTACGTGGAATTTGAGAAGGGGACTTGTATAAATTGCGGACTCTAGATACGCCTTCATGTTCCCGCGTTTAAATTCAGACGAATCGTATTTGCGTCTGAAAGCGAAATTCGCTAAGCTCTCGTGAGTGCTATTGAATTAATCTCCCGATGAATATTCCCCGATATATATTTCTCTTGTATTCTTAATTGATGTACGAGTGCCGTTCGTATGCATCGAGCTTTGGTCGAGAAAGGGGGAGAAAGAGAGAGAGAGAGAGAGAGAGAGAGTCCCGGGTATAGCTCTTCGGTATTAACGTAATGTCTGTATTCTTCTCCGAGGTAGAGCACTAATTGCACTTAATATTTTCGCCAAGTGGAAACAACAAAATCCCAACGACGCGCATAAATTTTAAATAACGCTCGCGTCGTCCTCTTCGAGTCCTACATTTTTGTTGGAAAATTACAACGCCACCTCTTAAAACTATCGCGCCTTTTATTCCGAGCCTACGATTCTCTATCTCGAGTGCCGAGTGCATTTAGTTTCGGCGTCAGTAAACCGGATCGAGAAACGCGGCTATCGATCAGAAAAGTGCGACGTCGTGATAAGGGCCGGGGGGGAAGGTATGGAAAGGACAGCGGAGAGGCCAGGAGTGACTCCCTCGCCTCCGCCGCTGTACCATCTCGATTCCACGTATTGCATCTGCATGTTAAGTTAGATTGACTCCGAGAGAACTGAACCGTGAGCCACTCGAATACGCGCGCGGTCTTCGTCGGCTGCCCCCTTTCCCTCGCGACCTCTGCTTCTCTCTCTCTCTCTTTCCCTCCCCCCCCCCCCTCTCTCTCGCGTGCGCGCGTCGCACGCAAATGCGTGCGCCAATTGTATTTGCATATTTCAAATTATTTCGAGGAAGAGACGCTAAGTGGAGCGTCGCCTCTGCGCAATGGAGCGATCCTCCCGTTTATCTACGTCGCTTCTTTTTTTTCCATTTCTCTTCCTCTCTTTCTCTTTCTCTCTCTCTCTGTCTCTCGTTCTCTCGTTCGCGTAAGTACGCAGATGCACACAGGGCGACCTATCGTGTAATCGATACCACAAATGGAGGCCCATCGCATTGCTCCGCGAAGCTACCGGCGCACCGCTCTCGCCCACGCGGCGAACGCATTTCGAACGAAAGAGCATTCTCGCGCGCCTACGTAATGGACGACTCTTGAAATCGCACTTGCGTCATTTAAATATTTGCTCGCCACGGCTTTGCGCTAGCGAATTCTATTTCGCCGGCAGTCTCGGGCTCGCGCCGACGAGTTTCTCGCAGGTGAGGCTCTCGCCTTACCCTAAACGTCGAGGAAATTTCGCCCGACCGACCGTCGACTTGTCGCGCGCGCGTGCGCATCTTCCCCGCGTTTATTTGCGTTTTTCGCATCCGCCGCGCGTCCCGACGAGAATAAAATAAATAAAAATTACGCGACGGCGGCCCGACGGGCGTTGCATCCCCGGGCGAGTTTATATTTGCGAATTTTCACGCTCGACGGCCCAAGTCGTTATGAAGTTGTTTGCACGCCGTGCTCTCTCTCGTCAAGCATCGGCACGTTCTCCTCCACCTTGCGTATCGGCACAGTCGCGAGAGAAACGATAAGGCGCGATTTGACGAGAGAAACGGGTGGAAGAGAGAGAAAGAGAGAGAGAGAGACAGGGGGAGGATCGCGCGGTATCGGTCCCTTTTTTCGCCCGCGGGATTCGGCGGATTGCGTCTCTGCGAGAAAGTTACGTGGAAATACCCGCGGCGTGATCCCTGAGATGGAAACTCGCACGCTCGCTCGCGTGCGCGGATATAAAGGAAACTTTCCTCTCGCGAAAAAATAATACGCGTCGCCTTTTATGTGCACACGCATCTTATCTGCGCGCTGCGCGTACGACATATATAATGTTCTTTTATTGTCGCGGATACACCGAGAGTTGTTCCCGCGCCTGGATCAAGTCGCTTCTTCCGACGGTGCGCAGCGCCGGCTCTCGTTCGATTTTTTTTTTCGCTGCTATCGGCATCTTCTCGCGTTGTCTTCCAGCGAATTCAGTTGCTCGCACTAGCTCGCACCGAGTGCGCACTGAGGCAGTCAGTAAAGCGATTTGTGCAGCATCCGTACGGAATTTTTTTTTGCTAAATAAATTACAGCGTAAACGCCCGTTTAGGACCTGGCACAGATGGAGGTGGCCGCTTGAAATATGAATTTTTTGCCAAATAGTTAAATAGTCTTTGCACGTGTATTTAGGACGTTAAGGCCCGGTTTCACCGGACGTCGCTTAACTTCAATCGGTTTGTCTCGAGGGGGAAATTGTGCATTGTGGTGTACAGATTTGCAGCATTACTGGGCATTACCAGGCATTTTTGGGGCATTAGAAAGATATAATAATAATTAAGCTTTCAATCGACCATAATTGGCAACATGTTCTTAACAACATGCCTCAATGGTCGAATTGGTGAGACGCCCGCCTAGAGTGTAGCAAAGTCCAGGTTCAAACCCTGGCTGAGGTAATATTTTTCGCGATAAATTTTCTCTGTTAAAAACACGCTGCCAGTTATGGTCGATTGAAAGCTTAATTATTGTTAGTCATGCACCGGCGTCAAATAATTCTCGAAAATAAAATAAGATAAAACAAGACAAATAAGATAACATACAGTTGAAAAGAGCTGTCTCTTTGACAGAGATTGAATTAAGCTAAGCTTAAAGTTAAACAACGTCGGTGAAACCGGGCCCAAGTATTATACCGATTCTTGCGAGGAATATTGTCACAGCCTCAGTTGAATTGAGCGAGACGCCTAGTAAGGAAGGTCCAGGTTGGCTGAGGTAATAATTTTCGCAATAAGATTTCTTACAGTGACGGGAGGCGGGATTGTATTGAATGCTAGTCAACGTTAAAAAACGCAACTTTACTGACGACAATGTTTCACATCAAAACTATGTTATATGACAGAGGGTGGCGGCGCGCAGGGAAACTTATGGTATATGAATTCACACATTATATTAAACTATTAGACCGAATCTACGATAGGTGTAGTGAGCCTTAAGCCGTGAGAAATTGACCAATCACAGGCGATTATTATCCTTACTTTCGACTGTGATCGGCAGTTTCTTACGGCTTAAGGGGATGCTGGAGTGATTCTGCACTTTTGCACCATTCTAACCTAAAAACTGTCAGTTCGCGGAAACATTTGTGTAATATACAAATTAAATGGCTTACGTGTATAGATCGAAAGCAGCTTGCTATTCCGGCCAAATGAAAGAACAATATGGCATCACTGAAACCAAGTTTGTAA